TTATATTCTCTTAATATAACTATAAAAAATAGTAAAGGCCTCAAATATTATTCTTTTTTTTTCTTCAAATCTTTCATTTATTTAAAAAATTTTTTTTTAATAGTGAGGCACCATGAGGTACAGTTGTAGACTTACACATTTTTGTGCTTGGGTTTCGATTATACAATGATCAAACACCCATCCCTCCACCAGTGCGCATTTCCCACCACCTCGGATCCCAGCATCCCCTCCCCCCCCCCATCCCACCCTGCCTCTGTGGCAGGGCATTTCCCTCTCTCCTTTTGAGTGCCATGGTCGGCAAAAGAGGCATTGAGTGGCAATCATGCTTGGTCGACAGTCTACCCTCAGCATGCTCTCCCATCATGGGCGGATCCTCCCAACACCCTTTATTTGGTGTTCCCTTCTCTTTCTGAGCTCCCCCTTCCCCTAACATGTGTGGTTGTCCTCCGGGTCATTGAGTAAAATTCCTGGTACTAATCTCTGCCATACTTGGGTGTTAGTTTCCTATTTTGTTACTTTATGTTCCCCAGATGAATGCAATCTTTCTATGTCTATCCCTTTCTTTCTGAGTCATTTCGCTTAACATGATACTTTCCATGTAGTACCACTTGTATGTAAACTTCATGACTTCGTCTTTTCTAACAGCTACATAGTACTCCATTGTGTAAATGTGCCAGAGTTTCTTCAACCAGTCATCTGTTCTCGGGCACTCAGGTTTTTTCCAGATTCTGGCTTCAAATATTATTCTTTATTCTACTAGTTATTTAATTTTATATTAATAATTTCTTGCCCATTTGTTTTTTGGGGGAGGTTCATCAAGCCGTGCTCAGGGCTTACTCCTAGCTCCATACTCAGGGATCACTCCTGGCAAGTTTAGGGGATCACATGGGATGCTGGGGACAGCATTTGAGTCAGCAGTGTGCAAGGCAAACGCCCTATTTCTGACTCTTTTCCTGCTTTTTATATAAGCAATGAATGGTACAAATTTCCTTACCTATATAAATCAAATGAACTAGACAACTTCTAAGACCCTACCTAGTCCTCCCTGAAGTCTATAGTCCTGATTTTTACTTTCATTTATGGAGCCCTTCCTGGAAATTTATCTAAATGGTTTCTAAATAAATAACTGGAAAATAAACCAATTTTTGTCAAATTCTGAAAACGTATTTGAATATACTCTTATTAGAAAAATGAAGTTTGAACTAGGTAAAATGTCATAATACTTAACATTCATAACAACTTAAAATTCTGATATCTATTAAAGAAAAATGAAGTACAATTGATGAAAATTTGTTTATTTTTTAGAAGATTAGGCATTTTTAAGCTTATGGTTTTGAAATTTTCAGTTATATTTATTCCTATTAGTTTATCTTTAGAAATGTGTTATAATATTCATATTAAAAATATTCATTTTTTCATAAATTAAAAATATAAGTTGTAATACATGCCCAAAGTTTTAAATTTCATATTATAAAGTAAGAGAAACTTAAATTATATTTCTGGTAATATGAATATTGTTCATGACTCAGTTAATTGTAGGGCCACTACCACAAAGTGTGGAAAATTTGTTAAGAATAGAATTGTTCTGAGGCAATAATGGGAGAACAGGACAGAATTATACTGTATCTCAGAACTTGTAGGTTAGAAGCCATAATGTTTTTTTCTCTCCTTTAAGAACATTTTAGATCCATTATAGGTTCTTTTGTTTTGAATCACTGAAGCATATTAAAGAAATAGTTCTGAAAGTAATAAATTAATGTTCTTTCAGTGAAATTTTCACTTAAATGTCAGAATCACTACCAACTTTATACATTTTTTTTAAAAAAAACAAAGTTACTTTTCGCTTTCATATTATAAAAATGGTTTTCTTAAAAAAAATAAAAATTCCTTGGGGTGGAGAGACAGTATAGAAGACAGGGTGTTTGCCTTACATGCAGATGAGCTGGGTTTGATTGTGGCACCCCATCTGGTCCCCTGAGCCTTGCTAGGAGTGAGTCCTGAGTATGGCTGAGTATGACTGCAAAAACAAAAACCTAAACTAAAATAAAACCCAAAATTTCCTTATATTTGCAAATGCACTGATCATTGAATTATTTTTAGTATAAAAATCAAGGAAAGTTTAAGACACAGAATGAAATTTGGAATAACTGAACACCATAATTGTTACCTTATTATAAGATGGAACAAACACTTTGCCTTAACAAATCACCCAGGTTTTTGTCATGGAAGGAGGGGGAGTGGGGTGGGGAGAGTGAGAGAACACGGAGAAGAGATGAGGAGGGGTTGAGGAAATGAGAGAGAGCTGGAGAGGTTGCAAGGTAATAATGAATAGGGAGGTTCCTGCAAATCAATGCTCCTTTATCTTGTGAAAGCCTCGATTCTTTTTTTTTTTTCTTGCTTTTTGGGTCACACTTGACTACGATGCACAGGGTTACTCCTGGCGGTGCTTGGGGGACCATGTGGGATGCTGGGAATCAAACCCAGGTAGGCCTCATACAAGACAAACGCCCTACCTGCTGTGCTACCGCTCCAGCCCTTCAATTTTTTCAGCTGCCATATTGACTACTGTTTTCATAGAGGCCTACAGAATGGGACGTCTAAAAGCTTAAAATGTTATCTTTCCTTCATTTTTCTTTCAACCTACAAGTACTACAGAGTGGTAAAGGCAAAGCAACCCAGCCGAATGTGTCATTTTTAATGTGAGGAAGAATATACTATCTAAATATAATCAGAAAACAAAGGAGATATTTCAGGGTAGAACTGTAGAATTTATCAGGTATAGTCTGAAGACAAAATATCGCCTGGACACATTTCCTTTTCAGCATCCTGCTCAGTGCGGGAAAGACAGGTACAAGCCAGGGAAGAGGACCTCATGGCCTGTCTTTCAACTCTGGTAATAGTTTTCCTGGAAGACTCAACAGACCAGTAAAGCTATTTTATTTTGTGACTCACAAATCATTAGTTGAATATCTTTATGGAAGCAAGTTATTTTTCTCTTCAGACAAATGTTTGGAAAACATCAGGATTGCAGAGTGGAATGCAAGCAAATAATTTGCAGATTTCATTGCCTGAAAATTTGTGACCCTCTAACTTTACAAGAAACTGTTGGTGTTTTTGTGTAACAGCCTAAGTTCAGAGCTCAAGACTTATCAGGCCAAGACAAACGTCCGGCAATGATCTTTTTAGCTAAAGAAGTAAGCAATCGAATTCATTTGAAATAACCAACATCAAAGTTCCAGGCAGAACCTTTCACAGACATTGGAGGGAAGTTTGAGGTTGGCACTACTCATTCCTAGAACGTGTTTTTGCAAAAGAGGTTCAGTGGTTTAATAAGGTCGTTTTCTTTCAATGTTATCATCTCATCCATTGCTGCAACAGAAGACGTGGTCTAAAGAATTTCTCGTCTCAAAGAATGCCTTGTATCCCCATTAGCAAAGTAGGCACACTCTGGGAGGCCAGCCAGAATGTGGGAATGGCTGCCTATAAAACAGGATTTTTATATGTATGTTACAACGGGATTCTACCTGTAATTGCAGTCGTTTTTTTTAAAATTTAATTTACTAAATGTTCCACTCTACAAGGGCACAAAGCTAAGAACTAGGGAACTCTTTCATTTTCCCATTGCTGCAAAGCGGGGGGGGGGGGGGGGGGTCGGGAAAGAGACTGCCAACTTTCCCATTTGTCTTGGCAACCGTTGAACTAAATTTTTGAAGGCCTTTTAATACTTTCTTGGGTTAGCAAAGTTTATGCACACGGAACTCAAAGATTCCATAGTGTGCCATAGGAACTCTCCCAGTCGAACATCTATTCCCCCTCGGGGGGGGGGGCTTGGACCAGCGCAGGTACCTAAGGAAAAGAACAGGCAGGCTTTCAAGGCGGCTGGTGAAAGTGGGAATTAAGTTACCGTCGGAGGCGCAACTTACGGGGGTGTGGGCGCCCCAGCCTCCCCTCGCCCCCGATGCCCGCGCGGGGGCGGCTGCGGGGTGGGCGGGCGAATGGGAGGGTCTCCTTTTGAACCGGCCCTTTTCCTGCCCGCGCCGCGCACCTGCCGCCCACTCTCCTGCCCCCACCCCCCGCCCCTCCGTGCGCTCTCAGCTAGTTTCCCGCCCGCCGCCCGGGTCCGGCGGGGCCAAGGGGCGCACCTGGCCTGGCCCCAGCCTCCCCGGAGCCCGCGGGGGCGGGGGCGAGCGCCGGCGCCCAGAGGAGTGGGTCGGGGCGCGCTCGCTCTTTTTTTTTTTTTCATTTCAAAGTCATCCACCCCGGGGATGTTGGATTTGGCTTGGCCGTGCTCTTGGAAAGCCTCTCCCGGGAAGGCGCAAACCTTCCCGCTCCGCTCGGCAGCTGGAGAAGCAGGCCCCAGGCGGCGACGCCCCCGCCCCTCGCCCAGAGCTGGCCTCGCGGGAGCCGCGCCCCCTCCGCCGGGCGCCCACGGGGTTCCTCCCCAGCTGCCGTGTGAATGGGGCTGCACCCCCGACCCCTCCCACACACACACACCCGTGCCACCCCACCCCCGGGGGTGGGCGGGGAGGGAGGAGGAGGAGGAGGGGGAAGGGGAGGGAGAAGAGGAGGGGGAGGACAGGGTGGGGGCTCACTCCCGGCGACCGCCGCCCCCGCCCCCACCCCGCGGCGGCCCACGCCGGCTCCTGCGTCACTCGGCCGCGCGGGGGCGGGAGCCGCCGCGGCGAATGGAGCAAGAGCGGAATCTCCCAATGTGACAGCGCGCGGGGGGGTGGAGGCGGCGGAGGCGCGCGGGCGGCGGGGGAGGGGGAGGGTGCAGCGCGCGGGGCGGGGCGGGGAGGGGGCGGGGGGAGGCCGCGGCGGGGGAGGCGCCGCCGCCGCCCGCGCGCTCCAGCCCTGAGGAGCCGCCGCCGCCGCCGCCGCCGCTGCCGCCGCCGCGCGGCCGAGGGAGCGCCGTCGGGGCTGGCGGGCGGGAAGCAGCGACGGGCTGGAGCTGGAGGAGGAGGAGGAGGAGGGGATAGACGCGAGAGAGCGAGCGAGAGAAAGAGAGAGAGAGTGCGCCCACCACCTTCCCTTCCCCCCTCTCTCGATGGGCGCGGGGGCGTCCCGGCCGCCGCAGCCGCCGCCGCCTGAGGAGGGAGAGCCGGGGGCCGTCACTTCGGAGTTGGGGCTGAGCCGTCCGCGGGGGAGAGCGCGCCCAGACCGCTGCAGCCGCTGGCCTCGTACGTACCGCGTCGCCGGGACGCGTCTCGGGAGAACTTGGGGCGGCCGAGTGGCCGGGGCACGGCGCGGGAGTGTGTGTGTGTGGGGGGGGGGGTGTGGAGGGTGAGGGGGGCGCCCCGCTCGGGCGTCCAGGGCCGCGCGGGGCCGGGCGCTCTGCAGCCGCCGGAAGGAGCGGGCGGCCGCGGGGCTCGTGTGGGCGATTCCCGGAGCACTTCACTTGGCCCGGGCAGCGGGAGGAGAGGGCGAGCCAGTCGCGGGCCTGGCCTTGTGCGTGTGCCCTCCGCCGAGTCCGTGCTCTGCACCGGGGGTGGGAAGGAGGGTGCGACGAGCGGCGGGGTGGCGAGGTGTGTGTGTGTGTGTGTGCACGCGCGGGGCGTCGTGCACCTCGGGAGGTGTTTTTGCAAAGCCACCTCCCCCCCACCCCCCCGGGGCAGGATCTTTTTGTTGGTTTTGTGTTTACTTTATGAACGTGCTGCCCTGCAATTCTTTGAATTTTTTTTTTCGCCCTGGTCATTTCCAAACGCTTTCGAATGTAGCGTTGTGTGTGTGTGTGTGTGTGTGTGTGTGTGTGTGTGTTCTTTAAACAAAAAAAAAAGCGGAAGGAGAGTTTTTGCTCGGAAAGTCGCTTGCAGAAAACTTGGCACCGAGGTGCGAGGAAGCTTGAGACTCGTTGTGCCCGCTGAAGGGCCGAGCGTGGAATTCGCAGACACATGTGGGACTTTAGGAGCCATGGATGCTGAGGTGTGTGACCTTGTTCCGGGAAGGAAAGAGCCCGAGTCCTAGCAAGTGTTTGCGGTCTGCCACCCCAGGCTTTGCTCAGCTCGGGATGCCAAGCCCGAGGCTTGCAGGAAGCCCGCGTAAGGGATGTGGAGTGTGTTGAGCGAAAGGCTGTGTGAGTTGCAGTGTGCATTGCTGGCGTCCGCGGGCCAAGTTTTGCAGCGAGGTGATCCGAAGGAAGCCCTGGCTGGCTTTTACACTCATCTCTCACCGGGTGAGGCTGTATTCTAGGTAGCTGTCCATGTGAAATGTCACCGGAAAGAGTGGATGGAGGGTAACTTGTTACTACCAATTGGTTTGCCTGTGACTTGTCTGCAGAACTGAAGGAGTGCAAAGATCAGAAGTTGAGAGGGAAAATCTCAGATTCTTGTTTAAAAATATTTTGGCAGTTCCAAGCGATAGTAGATTGCATAGGAACAGAGGAACGGAATTTAAAATAGATTAGTCACGTAGGAAATGCTTAACTGTTTTGTTAGGGAAGTGTGCACACAGTGAATTACCTTCTTAGGTTTTCACTTTTTTGGAAAAATTTCCCCTGTAAGACGTACCAAATTATGACATGTCATAATTTATGTGTGGGTTTTAAGAAGAAATATTGAATGAAAGATGCATAGGATTTACTTTCTCTGTTTTGGGTGGAGGCTGAAAGCTCCCTGAAGACTTTAAAAAGCTGCTTTTGATCTAATCTAAGTCCAGGAAAAGTGACATTTAGAACCAAGGATATCTAGCCCTTTTTTCCTCCATTTTCCAATAGTATGTGAAATCTTTAATGCTATCTATCCTTTTGCTATGTTTTAAGAATTGTATTGTCCTTATATTCGGATATTAACATGAATACAAGGATTCTCTTGCCTGTATAGATACCTAACATGGTCTCTTTTTCCTTTTTGACCATTAACTATTGGAAAATTATCTCTGGGAAGAAAATAATTCAAAGCACCATCAGAAGATTTCTTGTTTCAATTTTATTACAAAAGTTAATATGCCATCCTGGCATTAGAAAATTTTTTTCCTTGGTTCTGATGATTTCCTGAGAGAGGTGAATGTATTAATAACAATGTTGGGGTATTGTAGACTTTAACATACTTTCTCCTGCCTGCTGATGTGGATATAATTAAAATGGCAAAAGAGATATCTTAGGAATGCTGCAGTTTATATAAGAAAATTTAGTGAGTTTACATGTCTAAAATAATACATATTTAATAAGTATGTTACATCATTTTTAGAGTTACTAATGAAATCAGCTAAATTTAGAATTTTCCTATTGTGTGACTAGATAACATCAGTAGGAAAGTTAATAGATTTTATGTTTGTTATGTAGAGAATTATTTAAGACATTAGGTATTTTGATCACCTGTTAGGAACATTGGTTCTTGAGATTGTAGGGGTTGCACTGTGAATGCATTGAGAGAATAAATTACTTCGATTATGTAGTGGGAGAGGGGGATTTGAAGAATTTATTGTATGAACTTTGAGTATTTATTATAATATATGGCCAGGTGGAACTAAGTGTGTCAGGCTTTTGTGTCTGTTGAGTTTGACTCTGTCCTAAGATTTAAGCCTCCTCTATTCACTGATAGTCTAGTTGGTATTGTTGGTGTTGTTTATGTGTGTTATTGAAAACTAGAACTGGTAAATTTACCTTTAACTATGAAACTGTATTATGGAACCATGATATATGGAAATAATCGTTTTGTAATACGTTTTGCATATTTAAGATCTTGTTCATTTATCAACTACTTCACGCATATTTCATTGTGAAGTTTATTAAATATATGAAGGAATAAACAGTAGCCACTAGAGATGAGTTGTTAGATCATTTGATTTGAACTTAGTTTTTAGCTTACCTGTTTCTTCCATCTCTTTCAATAGAACAAAAAATGGTTCACTTATTAAATGCGATGCAATCCGATATGATGTATTCAATAACTAGGATAATGTAGACTGTACTCTCTTAACCTTAATGGAATGAGTGGGAAATGAGAGGAGTTGAAGTTGGGAAAAATTAGTAGTCTACATCTTGGTGAAATTTCACAGCCAAAACATTAATTAAGCTTTCAAATAGTTTGTCATTTTCCCACATGTTGTATTTAGGGGGTTGTAAATAATTTTTGAAGAGAAATTTTTAGAAATAAAAATTTTAGTATAAAATTTTAGTATAAAATTTTTAGTATAAAATTTTAGTATAAAAATTTTTATACTAAAAATTCAGAGGACGCTTGATGTTTGTTAAATAGCTATTGAAGCCATATGACATTTCTGCCCTATACATACATAACATGCATACATACATTGGTATCAGTTAATATTGCAAAAAAATCTGGTGTCCTTTTAAAAAATTATTTTTTATTGAGGTGACATTGGTTTACAAGAGTGTAGAAGATTGGATGTTTTAGGGGTACAGGATTACCATATATCTTCCATCAGCAGAGCCAGTATACCTTTATCACACAGTACATTCGACCCTTTCAGCGGCATCCATCTCACCCTTGTCCAAATTCAATTCTGTTATCAGAATGTCAGGATGAGTTTGACTTACCTTTATCTAATTTTGATGATTGTAAGCTTCTTACACATTGGATTCTTCCAATAAAATCGTAAAGGAGCTGTAAGATTCCACCCCCTCCCCCCCGCTTCATTTAGAATTCAGAAAAACATCTATAGGGAAAGAGCATTTTGATTTCCCAAATTACCAATAATTCATTAGAAACTAATGTTTAATTCATCGCTATGACCATATTGAGATTCAAAATACCTTGACTTAACGCTGACTTACATAGGAGTCAGGTCACAGTCTTATAATCCATGAAACAATACTTAATTACTCTAGCTTGAGTTTTAGGAGTAGGACAGAGTCAAAATACATTTCCGAGGCTTATTAAGGCTCATCTTTAAAATCTGGTTTCTCATAAACCTTTTCGTTTTCAACCTTTAATAAATAGACAGGCTTCACTCTCCCGAACTTTGGCAGTGCTTCAGAGGCTTCCAGGGTAGTCTTTGCCCTCAGATTTCCAGTTTCCTTCTTTGCCTTTTCCCATCCCTATCTTTCATTCCCTTAGTGTACACAGGATCTCACAACAATCTGGTGGAACTAATTCACCTTAATCTGCAAATGACTCATGAGCTCTTAACCCTTCCCAGGTTTTTTTTTTCCACGTTTCTTGTAAGTCTGTGAGAGGTGGCTGTTAGCTTAGATAATTTTAAAGTAAAAATTTCAATGTGTGCTAGGAGGAAGGAATTTATAGTCCTCTGCATAAATAAGTCAGATGTTACTGGGATTTTTGCCCTTGCTTTTGCTGTCATTCCAGGAAAAGCCTGTCTTGTTTGAAGTGTCCTAGACATTGTGCACACACCATATGTACATATGTGTATGTAAAAGGCCCTCCCGTTGATCGGCGATTTGCTCGAGCGGGCCCAGTAACGTCTCCATTGGAGACTTTGTTGTTACTGTGTCTGGCATATCGAATACTCTCGGTAGCTTGCCAGGCTCTCCGAGAGGGGCAGAGGAATCGAACTCGGGTCGGCCATGTTGGCTGCTTGTAAGGCGAACGCCCTACCTGCTGTGCTATTGCTCCAGCCCATGTGTATGTATGTATGTAAAGTATCTTGATCATGAAAAGGGAGATTCAGTAGATTCATAGGTATGAATCTATTGGAATGTAACTCATTTTATAAGATTAACTTTCATAATTTGTACTGTTTTCAATTTTTAAAAATTTGTACAAGAGCTAGGGTTTCTCAAGAGACATTGACTCTTTAGAAGTGCTAGTGTTGGGGTGGACTATTGTGAGGTATATTGTACTAAACATGTGTAATTCCCCCGTTCTGGAGCACACCCTTTGATCTCTTGACAAAATAGCTATATAATGAGGATGAGAGAATGAAAAGTATTTGCAGGGCAAGTTAGCAGGATAGGCTGTTAATATATTGTTAATTCATTGGGATTTCCATTTGCATTGAGGGCGTTCCATGACCTTTTGGAAGGTGAAGATTTTTGAGCAGACAGATTCTAACTCAAATACTGGTTTTCATGCAACAGCAGCCTTTTTACACTGAACTAATTAATTACTAGGAATAGAGAGGTATAAAAGATAAATGAAACCTAATTCTTATCATCAGGGTATTTATAATCTAGAGGTGGCCTTTTTGGTAGAGCCAGGTTAAGGCTGCTTCTCTGTTTCGTTTACATGTACTTTGCATGGTGTTTCTCACAGTATTCTCATCTGCCTCCTTTCTCTTTCCACAAAGACCATCTCCTCTTTATAACCAGGACTGGCCCAGTAAGTGAATTTGAGTAAGTGAAGGGGAGAAAAGAGGGAGAGAGTGGAAGAGTTGGGAGGGAAGAAAAGGAAGCGAGTTTTGTGGGGTTCAGAAAAGGTTTGGGAGAGGGGCTTTATGGAGAAGACCTGGAGGGTGGGAGTAGTGAGAGAGGAAGCCTGACTCAGGGACAGGGAAAGGGAAGGCAGATTTGAGAAATGCTGGCTGTGTGGATGGATTCCCCTAAGTCTAGGGCTAAGTTTGAGTTTGAGCTGCCTATAGAAGTATTTTGATTTCTTTATGCAGTGAGGAAATTTGTATGGGTGAGTTAAGACCACATGTTTTCTTTGGAAAGATCAAGTTAGCATTGCAGTATGGGGTTTATTTGAATGTGAGGGAGCTGTACGAGAACAGTGAAAACTAGAATTGGGTGCTTTGAAGCAGGGAAGGAAAAAGGGCGTTGATAGTCTAAAAATGCATAGGGTTGAAGAAGGAAGAGGAAAACACAAAAATGAAATCCTACTTTTGTGAATACAGGTAATTAAAAGAAATGAGTAGATTGGATTTTCTGTAAGGGAGGAATAATTGTTATCAAATTTTCTGGTTTATGAAATCATTTAAAAATCTTTTTAAAGACAAGAACTGTTTATTTCCCTCCCTTTACAAATAGAAGTGTGTATCAGAGGCATTTCCCCCCTCTCCCCCCACTCAGTACTCACTGCCTATGTGCATTTGGATTTAAAAGAACACTTGGTAAAAGCTCTATGATCTTGGTTGCTGGAACCACTGGTAGAGCTTATAGGTAGAAATTGGGAGATCCATCTGTAATAAAGGATCGTTTTGGCCTGGGAGTTGATGAGAGTCCATGGATGGAGAGTATGTGAAGACAATAGAAAAGAAGTTCAATATAGAACTTTTTTAAAAATAAAATTGGGGGACACAATCACTGTTGCTCAGTGCTTACTCCAGGCTCTGTACTCAGGGATTTCACCTCTGGTGGCCTTGGGGAACCGTATGTTATGCAGGGGATGAACCCAGATTGGCTGTGTGCAAGGCAAATGCCCTACCCCCTGTACGATCACTTTCGGCTCCTCCAGTAGAAAACCTGGATGAATTGTTGCACTTAAATATAGCTAGGGAGAATAGGTTAGACAACATCCTTAGGCATTCCAGAGTTAGTTAGGAGTGACGCAAGCAGGAGAGAGGTTAGAAGCTGCTGATAAATCAGTAGTTACTAGACAGTTTGGAGAGCGTCCCAGGGCCAGGAGGCAGGCGAATGAATCTTGGACTAACTAGTCTGAGGCAGATTTGAAAGATTGGTTGTATTTTTCCCCTGATGGCCATGACAGGCTGTCTTACCCTGAATCCCTTTATCCCAGCTTGGCAGAGGTCAGGGAAGTAGTGTTTGTCCTGATTGGGTGCTTTGGATGGTACAAGGTCAAGTTTTCTAGACCAACTACCTTCTTATTTCACTTACAGCTTTGAATATAGCAGAAGAACTATAACTCCCTCAAGTGGAGCCAGTCGCCAGTCAGGTTCGGGAACAAATAATTTTCACTTAAAATAATACAGTGACTAGTAACAATAACTGGTCTTGAGCTAGTCCATTGTTGATACCCTATATCCTCTGGATCAGATTGAGGAGCTTTTAAGCTGGGACAAGGGAAGGTTTGCTGTCCATAGGCAGCAGGTCTTTGAACTTTTGAATGCGCTAAAAAGAACTGGTTTCTCTTTGAAATTCATGAAAAGGTCATGCTCAGCATGATGGTTCCAACATGTCTTGAAAAGGCTACATCACAGTTGCAAAGCTAGATAGCAGTTTTCAACTTACTTTTTTTTGTGCAGCGTTGTATTAGATTCTTTTTATGGTGAAATTCAGATCTAGAGATGTAGATGCGGTTATGGAGGTTTCCATCTGATAAGGATTTTCCTTTTAAACAAATCCAATTAACATATAAAGCTGCAGGTGTTTAAATGATGTCCTCAGGCTTTTTTAGGATATGCAAACATTTTCTTAAAGCTAGGATCTCAAGGAGAAAATTTCTTTTCTAGCAGTAAGCACAGACTGAATAGTATTCCAAGATACTAAATAGTTCACTTACCTTAAATCTGTTATCTTGACTTTGGAACTGTACATTATTTTGTCATGCACTGTCAGTTCTTACCAATAGAGAACCAAGTCTTACCATTGTTAAAGGTTTCCCCCCCCCCCCCAGGTAATGAAGGAATTTTTCTTCCTTTATGGGTTAAGATGAGAGGATGAAAGTTGGAAATTAATACTCCTAAAATTACTGTCATATCTTAGAAGAATAAACCAGATTTTACGTTGCTAGCTATTTTCATTAGTTTCTCCTATATTTTTCTAACTTTTTTTTTCTTCATACAAGTTTCAAAAACACTGTTCCAGGTGAGTGGCCACGCAGCCTCTCATACTATTCATGATAAGCAATAGAAAATAAATTATCTAGCATCTGCCTGTAGCAGGCAGGTTTGAAAGGTGGTGGGAAAATTCCAAATAATGGTGGTGGGAAGGTGTAATGGTGGTGGGATAAGTATTGAAATATTGAATGTAATCAATGTGAACAACCTTATGAAAATAAAATTTAAAAATTAAAGAAAAAAAAAACACTGTTCCTGATTTTTTTCTTAAACCTTTACTCTTTCTGTAAACCGGAGTGTCAATTATAATGAAATAGCGACTCTACTCTGGACCATCTAAAGTTACAGTTCTCATATAGAAATGATGGTGTGTGCACACGTATATTTGTGTGCACTCTATATGCTCTTGAGTTGAAAGCTTATGACACTATTGGCTTTGGGAATAGAATGGGAAAGTAGATTGCTTTTCTTCCTTTCAGGGACTTTTACCAGTCTTCTCCCTGTTACTACGTGTAGACTTAAACTTGAGTGTGCATCTCCTGGGAGCTCTGTTTTTGTGGGTTACTGTGGACCCAGATGAGATTCTCCCTGGAGACTCCTGGAGTGGAAGGACAGGCCACTCTCCTGGAGGGGGGATGTGAAGAAGATGCAAGCATGCCTTTGATCTGGGCAGCTGAGGAACAGGAACATTAAGGAAGGTAGACTTGAGCCTGGATGATCCCAGAACCTGTAGGAGTTTGTGGTACCCAGAGGGCATGCTGAGCAGGGACCTTTAGTATTGTTTGCCAAAATTGCCAAATTAGGGGGAGGAGTTTCCTGAAAGGCATCTGGTGACCTGGGTAATGATAATTTTCGGAGGCACCCTGAGGCTGTTTTCATAGGCAGAAGCTTCTGGTCTTGAGTGTGAAAACCTTTATAAAATGAAAAAGATGTTGAGAGGTCACTAGTTGATCAAAAGGGATTGTGGTTGATAACAGGGATTGTGGGAGATGGGACTTCCTGATGAGAAGTCAGTCTTTCTGGGGCTTGGCTGAGGCATTCTCCTTGCATGAGCTGACTAAAGTAAATGGTTGCTGGTGTATAGCTGAAGCCCAGATTTGGAGACCGTCTGGCATTTAGGTATTTACCTGAATATTCCTTTGCTTGCATTATCTTCTAATGATTGCATCCTACTCTGTTGAGGTTAGACTTCCCATTTTACTCTGCTGTATTTTATCCTTTTGTAAGTTTCTCCTTTCAATTCTAAGAGTGCATTGATTGCAAGTGTTTCTCTTAAATGGAAGTACTTGGCCAACTCCTCTTTGTATGTGGGAGGTCTCCAGGCAACTGTGAATAACTTAAGCCTGCTAAGAGGTCAGGAAGTTCTTTGCTGGGTCTTGTTCTGTTTCTATAAAGGCAGGGCGCTCTGTCTTGCTGGGAATCTGAAAATTTTTCTTCTATGGTTCTGTCTTAGACTCTGGCAGGCACTCCCACCTTCCCTGATTTTATCCTTGATTTATTTCCTTTATTACCACTCAGACCGCAGTGTTTTCCAATGTAGGCAACACTTCCCAATGGCATGAGGTGGGGGGGCACTGGAAGACTGGGGCGATGAGTGCTATTGGGGTACAGCTGGGAGCCACTTTCCATTTGTTCCCTTAAAGAATGGAGTTTTCTCAGGGAGGGATGCAGGGAGGCGTACTAAGTGATTCTCCCCCCCTTGAATAAGTAAGTTTGGGAACCTTAGGTCGGTTATTTACATACAGGACTGTTCAGCCTCAGTGCTGTCCTCCATACCATGTTCAGGTGCCTGTGATTGAAATCGTCTAACCCAAATCCTGTTGCAATTCTAGATTCTCACATAGTCATCTATTGACTATTCCCAATAGTCATCTATCATTCAAGTCTTCCTGCAGCCAGTAGGTGGTAACCTGCCTCTTTATTCCCAGTTCCTAAATATACTGTCTTTTGTCTTACCTCCATTTCATACTGAAATTTAATCTCCTTATGGCTAAACTGATTTCCTTTCTAAGATGGGAATTGCTTTACCTATCTTCCAGGACTGTTGTGAGGATTAAATATAATATACTGTGAGTTGGGTATTGTTGTCTTTGATACAAAGAAAGTGTTCAGTGGATGGTGATGAAATAGACTTCTTAACTCCTTATAAACTTGATTATCCTTCATTTCACCTCTGTCTATATCATGGAAGTAGCAAAATGAATAGTCAAAAATGGGAGATTTAGCGCTTCATGAGTCTTGTTGAGTCCGCAGGCTCCCACTTAGATGTTAGATCAGGCAAATTAATCTGTGAGCTTTTCATTTTTCTCTTTAAAATGAAAGTACTTACACTGATCATTAAGATTGTTGGGATAGTAAAATGAAATTAAGTATATGGACCACGCTTCCTTAACACTCACTTGCTTCGTCCGTGCTCTGAGTGTATATTCTTTCCACACTGCACTCATAAATCCCATCATGTGTCACAAATAGGTCTAAGTAGGTTTGGATCAAGTGTAATAAATATTTCCTTTCTCCTTTCTGCAGATTAAGCCCATCACAGTAATGGCTGCAGCCTTACCCAGGACCCTGGGGGAGTTGCAGCTGTATAGAATATTACAAAAAGCCAATCTGCTGTCCTATTTTGATGCCTTCATCCAACAAGGTGGCGATGATGTCCAGCAACTCTGTGAAGCTGGTGAAGAGGAATTCTTGGAAATCATGGCCCTCGTGGGCATGGCCAGCAAGCCCCTGCATGTGCGAAGGCTTCAGAAGGCACTGAGAGACTGGGTCACAAACCCTGGTCTCTTCAATCAGCCGCTGACGTCCCTGCCGGTCAGCAGCATCCCCATCTATAAATTGCCAGAGGGCTCGCCGACGTGGCTGGGACTGTCCTGCAGCAGTTACGAGAGGAATAGCAGCAGCGCCCGCGAGCCTCATTTGAAAATCCCCAAGTGTGCCGCTACCACGTGTGTGCAGAGCTTGGGGCAAGGGAAGTCAGATGTGGTGGGGAGCCTGGTGCTGCAGGGCATCGGGGAGTCCAGACTCTGGCAGGGCCCCCACGCCACCGAGAGCGAGCATAGCCTCTCCCCGGCCGACCTGGGCTCCCCAGCGTCCCCCAAGGAGAGCAGCGAGGCCCTGGACGCGGCTGCCGCGCTCTCTGTCGCTGAGTGCGTGGAGCGAATGGCCCCCACGCTGCCCAAAAGTGACTTGAATGAAGTGAAAGAGCTGCTCAAAACCAACAAGAAGTTGGCCAAAATGATCGGCCACATCTTTGAGATGAGCGATGACGATCCGCACAAAGAGGAAGAAATTCGCAAGTACAGCGCCATCTACGGGAGGTTCGATTCCAAGAGGAAGGACGGGAAACATCTCACGCTGCATGAGGTAGCACACTCATTCTAACCCCCGCCTCCTAATGTTTGGGTTGTGTTCCTTTGAGATAAGTTTATTAATAGTTTGTAGAAAAAGACATGCGCTCCCTGGAAGCAGTATTCAAAACATTTAGATGTTAGCAAAAATACAACTTTTTTTTTTTTTTTTTATGAAAATAGACTGTATTGTTGTGGTAGGGTATTTTTGTGTTGATCTCAAACACGGGCTTTGGAAGCACAGTGGAGGGTGATGCGTAGAAAAATGTTAAAATTCGAGCAGTGAAAATACAGCCTGTGAATTCAGAGGCAGAGAACGAAAGAATTAGAACTTCTTTCTAATGAAATGAATATGAATTTCAGTATACTTTAGAGGGTTTTTTTAAATTTTAAGATGAAGAAATCATGTTGTAGAAATAGCCAGAATTTAATGTAGTTTCAGCTACCATGTTTTTGTAAGAACAGAATTACATGAGTGTTGAGAGAATCATGGCTTTGAACATTGTTTAAGTTTGACATTTGGCATTAAAAATTTCTCACGTGTATCTTCATAGCATTCTTTCCAGAAACATTCTGATTAAATTTAAGAATGCTTGTGTATCCTTTTGTATTGGCTTTTGATCTACTCCTGTCCACAGCTAAGATTTAGCTCAAGCATTAGCTTCAGTCTTTTCGACATGTTTTTTCTCCCCCAAGTAGAATGACCTTTGCTCCCATCCCCTTATTTTTCACTTTGGGGGTTTTGTGCTCAGGGTCTGCGCCAGCTTTATGCTGCGTGTTGCTCTTGGCGGTGATTGGGGAACATACAGCGCTAAGAGTGAAACTTGTGCTGAAACCCATTAAACTCTCCCCCAACCCCTCCCTTCTGTTTCCACCCTGCACACTACTCTCACAATATCTTCTACTCTTCATTGAATTTTTTGTTCCCTCACAGTATGCTTTAGGTTTCTTCAAGGATGAGAAAATGTCACATTCATTTTTAATTTCTCTGAATTTAATATGCTCATTGGTGCCTTGGAAAACAAGTGCATTTTTCAGAAGATTAAAAACATTATTTTGTACCTAACTTTTGGACGGGTAGAGGAACCTTCCAAGCAGTGCTCAGAAGGTCTGGGGCTACTCCTTAGCCGGGAGGGCCAGTGGTTCAGTGCACTCACTAACTGCTGAGACCCTTTGGTGTACTGAGCATTACCAGGGTCATCCCTGCCTTGCTTAGGGGCCTCCAGGGCTGTATCAGGCAGTGCTCAGATCAAGTAGTGTGAGGGATTGAACTGGCATGCAGGTCAGCCACATGCAGGGCATACTCCTTAACCCCTATGGTATCTCTCTTTGGTTCCAATAGAGTTCACATTTTTATGGCTCTATTATTTGCAAGAAATAAAATCTTCTTTGGAAAAGGTATTCAGTTAAATGCAATATTCATGATAGCACTGTACTGTAGCACAGTCCTCCCGTTGTTCATCGATTTGCTCCAGTGGGCACTAGTAACATCTCCATTGTGAAACTTATTACTGTGTTTGGCATATTGAATACACCACGGGGAGCCTGCCAGGCTCTGCCATGCAGGCGAGATACTCTTGGTAGCTTGCGGGGCTCTCTCAAGAGGGGCGGAGGAATCAAACCCGGGTCGGCCTTGTGCAAGGCAAAGGCAAAGGCCCTACCCACTGTGCTATTGGCTCCAGCCCAGTATTCATGGTGGAAACATTATATGTCTTCTCCTGTCCCCTGTTCTTTAGCAAGAAAAAGAGTAGAGAGTATTTACAAAAGGGGTATAAAGAAGTTGAAACTGTAAATTGATTCTTTTCTTTACCTATACAAATTGAGTATTTTATTTTGGCCAACTCTATTTCTTACTCTTTTTTCAACCTCAGCTGCATACTCAGTATAGTGTACTATTTTGGGGGCAGGGGAGTGGTTCTTATACCACACCTAGCAGTACCAGGGTTTACTACGGGCTCTGAGCTCAGGGATTACTTCTGATGGGCTCAGGGGACCATATGAAATATCAGGGATTAAACCCTGATTGGCCTTGCGCAAGGCAAATGTTTTACCCACTGTAGTTACTCTGTCCTACCCCACTGTGCTATTGCTCTGGCCCTCAACACTATTTTGTAACTATTCCAGTCAATATGTAGAAGGCTACATTATTGACTTGGGGATTGAATAATACTTCTTAGCAGTTTCTCAGCCTGAAAGATTGGCCCCCTTCTGACCTTGATTTCATCCTAGATCTCTGTCTTTAAGTGCTGGCACCCTAGTCTTGTGCTGTGGACCCAATTTGTGTGCAGTATTGCCTTTTGGCCCCCTTGGAATATGGTAGGGGCCCATAGGGGCAATATGGCTTCCAGGTTAGAAATGCAGTTCTGAAGTATAAATGTGTCCTGGTGAAGTTATTTCTTGTTCATTTTTAATGTAATTTTGGTATGTAAATTTTCATATGTACATAAGTATACACAGTGGAATACATAGGCATTTACAGATGCATTCATATCTTTCTACAAAATAGATTCCAACATGAAAAATAATGGAATCAGAATAAGTGGAGTTATTCTTTCGGTAATTGACTCTAAAGCAGCCATAATTTATATTTCTGTTATTATACAGGAGTGTTCATTTCACCATACTCTTGCCAGTATGGTATTCATCATTCTTTTTCATCTTTGACATTCTAAGATGAAAAATTGTTTACTAAGAATTTTTTTCTTTTGGTTTTTGGGTCACACTCAGCAGTGCTCAGGGCTTACTCCTGACTGCACTCAGGAGTTACTCCTGGTGGTGCTTGGGGGACCCTCTGAGATGCCAGGGAATGAACCTGAATCCAGGTTGGCCACGTGCAAGGCAAGTGCCTTACCCACTGTACTGCTGTTCTGCCCCCCCCCCCCGATTGCTTAAAATATAAATTTCAACATTATCAATTTCAGGTCTTAAATCTCATTTTTTTCTTGGACATCTCACATTCTTACACTATGAAATTTTAACTTTCATGTAATTGTGTGTGTTGATCTTTTTCTGTATGATATCGTCTAATTCTGTTTTTTTTTATTAGCACTGAGCTATTTTAATTACTGTAGCTTTAGAATATATTTGGATATCTGAGAGTACCATACCAATACTCTTCTTTTGCTATTCACCATTTTTTAAGTAATTGTATAAAGTTCTCAATCCAAAATGAATTTTAATGCATATGTCAAATTTCTTTCAGATTTCTGTTGACATATTGATTAAAAATATCTTAATGTTATAGATTAATTTGCAAAATTTTGACTGACTTGCAATGAGAGCGCCTATATAGTAATATAGTTTAATATATTTTATATAGATTCTTTATATTCTTCAGTAATTGCGGTTCTTGATTCACATAGGCTTTGCACATTTCTTATCAGATATGTCTGTTAATTGTCTGTAGTACATATTATTTCAATTCATTTCATTTGTATAGTATATAGAAATATAGATGATATAAAAGGGATATGCTTACACAAGAAAATTTCTTTCCACTTTAAAATTATCACTGCTTTTTAAATTATTAGTCTTACAGCCACTTCATCTGATCTTTTAAAATGAATTATTTTAGAAAGTGGATTTGGTTATTTAAATTGGAGAATTGGCTAGCAAAATTATAATCTGTGATTTGATCTGTTTTGTGCATTACCCTTGATAGTTCTTACGTGGTACTGCTGATATATAATAACCTACAAAAATTATTTCTCTGCCTCCCCCAAACTCAAAAGAATTTGTGAAGAATAGAAAGCACATAGTTCATGTTTATTTTGACACTCTAAAATTACCTATGAACCAATAGAAAAATCTAGATTACTTAATAGACTACATCTTATCATTAGTTAAAAAACAAAAGGAAAAATTTTGACAGTTATAATTATGCCATAACTAGTTTTTGTGTGATTTTTGAAATAGATGAAATACAAAGTTGGGTCAAAGACCTGTCTTTATCAAATAAATTAATTTTTTGAGAATGAATAAATCTAGTCAACCTCAGAAAAACATTCCTACCATACTTAAAAAAAAAAGAACCCAAATGAATTATTTCACACTTAGCTTTTGCTAAGGGGCTCTTCTTTGGATAAATAGGTACAGATGGTATTTAAGTAATGAGACCATCGTGGGTTTCCTGAAATAAGGGAACACTTGAAATGAATGCCAGTAGGCTGAGATGTGGGGGTGTGGGTTTGGAAAATGTGGCTTGTGTTTTTAAAACTTAACTTAGACCACTTGTTACTTATAACTCGAGTGTGTAACTGTGGCCCAATAACATAGTTTAGGATAGAATTTTATGAATGAGGATGCTTTCTCTAAACTAGTAACCACCCAAGAACTTGGTGGAAATGCCAGGATCCTGAGGAAATTGAAGGAGAGAAGGTACTGTTAAATTAATCTTTTTCGGCATTGTTAGCTTTCAGTTTTTTCACTTGACTATACAACTTGACTATTTAAATGAGAGAAAGATTGAGTTTTTCTGAATTCATGAGGTTATAGAATATTGCTAGGGGAGATAAACAGTGACTTGCCTTGCATGTGGCTGCATGCTGCAAGGTTTGAATCCCTGGCACTACTAGGACTCCTGAGCACTGCCAGGAGTCAGTTCTGAGGCAGAACCAGGATTAAGCTCTTGAACACCACCAGGTATGTTCCTCTGCTCCCCAAAAATGTTACTATTTGACCTCTATTTCCAGATGAGGAGATACAATGCCCTTTAAATTCACCATTGGCAGTATTTCTGAGAGGTTTATTTTTTCATGTAGACTCGTTGAATCATTCATTTTTCAGGACAGAACTATTTGTAGGTTTCTAATAGGAAGTCATCTACACCTAACTTATTCTTCTCAACTCTCACAAGTACCTAAACTTCTCTTTGATGTGTGAGTTTTATACTGGTTTCCAAACATATAAAGAATTATGAAATTCTTATGGTTATAAACACGTTTTTGATCAGCCAAATACAGTTTTTTCCAGATTTATTTTTAAAATGTTATTACAATTAAGGTAATGTGTTCACAA